TATACGCATGCTCGGCCGAGGGGGAGTGTTTCTCTGCTAGTACTGTACCAGTCTGATAACAATACATGTATATATATATGAAAGTTGTCGGAACTTTTGTATTTGGCTCGATGTCATGTCTGCACCACAGGAACTTGTTATTGGCAGAGACCATATAATATATTATATGGTCTCTGTTATTGGTCAGTAAATAAAAAATATATACCCCCTATATGTAAGTAGCGAATTTACACATAGGGGGGTATATATATTTTTTTACTGACCAATAACAAGTTCCTGTGGTCTGCACGTACCTTTACACTACTGCTCAAAACAACTTCTCTTCAAGCCTGTGCTGTGCTAAAAGCTTTTGTACACTTTTGTAGCGAAAACAACTGTGCTCAATAAAGTGGGACATTAGTACAGTCTCTGATATACAATCTCATTTCATTTCTGCTGACTGGGCTATGTGGCAGGCTCATCCAAACGTATATTACAAGCTTGAAATAATATATAATAATATATGTATGCTGTCATTAGCCGACTGTTATTAATTCAATAATCACTTTTTGACGTAGATAGAAAGATAGATAGATAGATATTAGATAATCAATAATTATAAGTTAATGATCTGTTATTAATTCAATAATCACGTTTTGCAATCTATAGTAATTACAACGTTATGGTTGAGTAAATAATTTCCACAGGTGTAACGGAATGTATTTTGCACTACATTAACAGTCCTATTAATTACACACACGTAATGATGCACGGTTAAGAGTGCGTTGATGCTGTTTTATGTTTTACAGCTGTTAGCTATATGCCAGCTAGATCACGTAACGGTAGATAATCGCACATATTTGCAAGAGAAAACATTGGTGCATGACAGCATGAGCACCAATCAGCGACGTGGAGGTACGGTGACACTAAGCATCCCTGTCCACATTGTGTCCCTCCGATCCTCATTAATCCATGGTCAATAAGCCGTCAAGTTGAAGTACGGGATCAGTGGTAACCAACGTGTGTCGCGTGTGTCGCGTTGACAGGTGTCCCGCCAACACTGTCTTTGGTCTCATCGCACCGTGTGATGCATAGACAGGTGTCCCGCCAACACTGTCCTTGGTCTCATCGCACCGTGTGTCGCGTTGACAGGTGTCACACCAACACTGTCCTTGGTCTCATCGCACCGTGTGTCGCGTTGACAGTTGTCACACCAACACTGTCCTTGGTCTCATCGCACCGTGTGTCGCGTGTGTCGCGTTGACAGGTGTCACACCAACACTGTCCTTGGTCTCATCGCACCGTGTGTCGCGTGTGTCGCGTTGACAGGTGTCACACCAACACTGTCCTTGGTCTCATCGCACCGCGTGTCGCGTTGACAGTTGTCACACCAACACTGTCCTTGGTCTCATCGCACCGTGTGTCGCGTGTGTCGCGTTGACAGGTGTCCCACCAACACTGTTCTTGGTCTCATCGCACCGTGTGTCGCGTGTGTCGCGTTGACAGGTGTCACACCAACACTGTCCTTGGTCTCATCGCACCGTGTGTCGCGTGTGTCGCGTTGACAGGTGTCCCGCCAACACTGTCCTTGGTCTCATCGCACCGTGTGTCGCGTGTGTCGCGTTGACAGGTGTCCCGCCAACACTGTCCTTGGTCTCATCACACCGTGTGATGCACAGACAGGTGTCCCACCAACACTGTCCTTGGTTTCATCACACCGTGGGATGCGTAGACAGGTGTCCCGCCAACACTGTCCCTGGTCTCATCACACCGTGGGATGCGTAGACAGGTGTCCCGCCAACACTGTCCTTGGTCTCATCACACCGTGGGATGCGTAGACAGGTGTCCCGCCAACACTGTCCCTGGTCTCATCACACCGTGGGATGCGTAGACAGGTGTCCCGCCAACACTGTCCTTGGTCTCATCACACCGTGGGATGCGTAGACAGGTGTCCCGCCAACACTGTCCCTGGTCTCATCACACCGTGGGATGCGTAGACAGGTGTCCCGCCAACACTGTCCTCGGTTTCATCACACCGTGGGATGCATAGACAGGTGTCCCGCCAACACTGTCCTTGGTCTCATCACACCGTGGGATGCATAGACAGGTGTCCCACCAACACTGTCCCTGGTCTCATCACACCGTGGGATCCATAGAGAGGTGTCCCGCCAACACTGTCCTTGGTCTCATCACACCGTGGGATGCATAGACAGGTGTCCCGCCAACACTGTCCCTGGTCTCATCACACCGTGGGATGCATAGACGGGTGTGCCACCAACACTGTCCATTGTGTACTTGTGTGACAACGCCGTGTGATACGTAGACAGGTGTGCCACCAACACTGTCCTTGGTCTCGTAGCACTGTGTGATGCGGAGACAGTGTCCCACCAACACTGTCCTTGGTGTACTTGTGTGCCAACACCGTGTGATACGTAGACAGGTGTCCCACCAACACTGTCCTTGGTGTACTTGTGTGCCAACACCGTGTGATACGTAGACAGGTGTCCCACCAACACTGTCCTTGGTGTACTTGTGTGCCAACATCGTGTGATACGGAGACAGGTGTCCCACCAACACTGTCCTTGGTGTACTTGTGTGACAACACCGTGTGATACATAGACAGGTGTCCCACCAACACCGTCCTTGGTGTACTTGTGTGACAACACCGTGTGATACGTAGACATGTGTCCCACCAACACTGTCCTTGGTGTACTTGTGTGCCAACACCGTGTGATACGTAGACATGTGTCCCACCAACACTGTCCTTGGTGTACTTGTGTGACAACACCGTGTGATACGTAGACAGGTGTCCCACCAACACTGTCCTTGGTGTACTTGTGTGCCAACACCGTGTGATACGTAGACATGTGTCCCACCAACACTGTCCTTGGTGTACTTGTGTGACAACACCGTGTGATACGTAGACAGGTGTCCCACCAACACTGTCCTTGGTGTACTTGTGTGACAACACCGTGTGATGCCCCAGATATGCATGTGCTGCTTCATGACTCATGACTTCCGACACCCAGCGTCTGTTTGTTTGTTGTTTAACGCTGCACTCAGCAATATTCCAGCTATATGACGACGGTCTGTAAATAATCGTGTCTGGGCCAGACAATCAAGTGATTGACTTCATGAACATCGATCCACGCAATTGGGATACGATGACATGCATCAACCAAGTCAGCGAGCCTGACCACCCGATCCCGTTAGTCGCCTCTGACGACAAGCATAGTCGCCTTTTACGGCAAGCATGGGTTGCTGAAAACCTATTCTATTCTATTCTTTACGGTGCACCCATCGCAGGTGTAATTGGCTCAGTATTATGAATACCCTTATGTCCTGTAAATTAACTCCCTGGTTTAATTCCCACACGAGAGGTAAAAACAGTATCCCCCATCCACCCCCACACACACCACACACCCCGCCATAAACCTACATCGAGGTACACACACAAGCTGACCTAAGACAGCTGACAACATGCATTATCTGCAGGTTTCAAGTTTACATGAACAGCTGGTGGTTATTCTACTGAATCATTGCTTTACTCACGGGCACGTCGTTGATAGAGTTACACTAATGGTGCACTGGGGTCAGTCAGTCAGTCAGTCAATTGATGGAACTATTCAGTCAGTCAGTCTCAGTCACTCACTAAGTCAGTCAGTCAGTCAGTCAGGAGATGGAACTATTCAGTCAGTCAGTCAGTCAGTCAGGAGATGGAACTATTCAGTCAGTCAGTCAGTCTCAGTCAGTCAGTCAGTCAGGAGATGGAACTATTCAGCCAGTCAGTCAGTCAGTCAGGAGATGGAACTATTCAGTCAGTCTCAGCCAGTCAGTCAGTCAGTCAGTCAGGAGATGGAACTATTCAGTCAGTCTCAGTCAGTCAGTCAGTCAGTCAGTCAGCCAGTCAGTCTCAGTCAGCCAGTCAGTCAGTCAGGAGATGGAACTATTCAGTCAGTCAGTCAGTCAGTCAGGAGATGGAACTATTCAGTCAGTCAGTCAGTCAGGAGATGGAACTATTCAGTCAGTCAGTCAGTCAGTCAGTCAGGAGATGGAACTATTCAGTCAGTCAGTCAGTCAGTCAGGAGATGGAACTATTAAGTCAGTCAGTCAGTCAGTCAGTTAGTTAGTGAATGAAGGATCATGACCTGGAATATTATTATGGATAACAACTTATTATACATGTACAACTTTTGGAGGCTACTTCTTGTCCCTTTATCGGATGAATGAGTGAGGCTATGTTTTCGCTGCAATATCACAACGAAGGACTGAAAGACGGACTCACCTAGTCAAACAGTTCACACACTGTAGCCCATATTTTAGTCGGCTCTCACGCAACAAGCATGGGGTCAACTTTTGACAAAGCGAGTTACATGTTGATTTCTGTTGAAAATGAATTTGTTTTTGAATAAGCATATTCTTTGAACCAAAACGATGTAAACAAGATAGGAATTCTTCTTTGTTGACAAAACTTTTCTCCTCAACTTCAAAAATGGTATCGATTTGTTTTCCCCCAGAATTCTTCAAACGTCACAAACGTCCTCATGTATCCACGTAGAGAATCTACAGTGTTTGACATCAGTTCTTGTGACCGGTTGCATCAGCGCTTAAATCACGTGGGCGCTGAGTTGACATGGGGTTTCTGTGACTTTTGACATTGTCGTATGTTTTTGTGTGTGTTTTTTGTAACCGGTTGCATCAGCGCTTAATCTCATAAAGATCTTGAACCGTTTGTGAAATGCTTCCGCTGCATAGTTCGCCGTGGGTGTATTTCAATATGGGACATGGTTCGATCACAACTTATCTGAGGAATATATTTTACATCAAGAATCCTTATGAACTTTGGAATTACGACACAACTCTGATATACACTCCACATGGTATTCTGTTTACGTTCTTGTTGGTTGTACTGTGGTGACATTTCACTTTTGACCTCATTGTAAAACACGATTGGTTAAAATCAGTCATGTGCTAGACACACCTCCAACCGGAAGGTCACCTCAAGGACGTCTGTTGGCCAATCAAATGAAAGTGTTTCTCTACCATATCAATCGTGGTGTGCGTTGCAGATAGACGTAGAAGGGAATAATTCATCAAACTTTACGATTCTTTCGTGTGTAGCGGGGTCACACAGATAGCAAGATGTTGCGTCGTGTTTCAAGCGACCTGTTCCATCTTTCTCAGAAAGTTGGGGTTCAAAAGGTGTTGGGAAATGCAGTCAGGGCGACGACCGTTTCTCGGCCCTACTCATCTTCGGCAGAGAAAAGTGACGATGAACTGAGTTTTAACGAAACGGTCGACAAATTCTTCGACAAGGCTTCTGCTTTGATCGAAGAACGACTTGTCGATGAGGTTAAAGGCAGGAATTTGACACATGAAGACAAAGTGAAACGGGTACGCGGGATTTTGAAGATAATTAAACCATGCAACCACATTTGTTCGATGTCATTTCCAATCAAGCGTGACAATGGTGAATACGAAGTTATAGAGGCATACAGGGCTCAGCACAGTCAACACAGGACACCATGCAAAGGAGGTAACACATTGGTCAAAATGATGAATAGCTATGTTAAGCTTGTCCTTTGAATGTTTGCATATATCACATGCTTTTATGTCGGCCTTGAATGATACTAGGGTAGCTAGAAGCATTGTCATATTATGCTGGTCATTGGCCAATGCGTTTTCTGCTATGATTTACGACAATTGGAACATTGTAAATATAAAGGAAGGTATCGATTTAAAGGTCACGGATTTTCCTGAACCGAACGAGTTCAAGCGCTCATAAAATCCATCCATGAAGGACAATAAGGACGTTAGCTGCTGAGAACTTTGCCGGTCCTAATTTCGGTGGCCTGGAGCTTTCTACGAATCCTAGGTTATTGAGAAGTATGTTTTATCTGAATTATCATCTCATTAAAATGATCATGATGACACAGATGTATTTTGTGGAGATTTTAAACATAAAACAGGTGATCTTTTAAAATGTAATATTATTTTTCAAAGGTATCCGATACAGTCCTCTTGTCAATGTTGATGAAGTGAAGGCTCTTGCTGCTTTGATGACCTACAAGTGTGCTGTTGTTGACGTTCCCTTTGGTGGTGCTAAAGCTGGTGTAAAGATTGATCCCTCGAAATACTCAGAAAATGAGTTGGAAAAGATAACCAGAAGACTGGCAGTTGAACTAGCAAAGAAAGGCTTCATTGGTAAATCATGATAAAGTACCAATTGTTTACCTGTTTACCATTGTAAGACAATGCCAACTATAAAATAAGGTTGATCAAAATAATTTGTATGGCACAACTGAATATGAAATGTCATTAAAACCTTATGGGATTAAGCCCTTGATAAAATTTCATGCATTTGACAAAACTGGTTTACCATTGTTCAACTTTTCGGCATGAGTGAGATGTTAAATTCAATTTCTATCAGATATCACTGAACATGGTTGATTTCATTTACATATTTTAAAGTTAAATGTAGTCTCTGGGTAATTTTGTTTTGGACTTTATTCACAAATCAAGTGCTAAATAGTTATAAATGTAAAAGAGTTGCTTCATTTGTAAACATACATATGATTTTATTGTTCTTGAAAGGAAAAAACAAAACCATCAAATCAGTGGAAACTAGCACATTTCTTCCAGCTGTTTACATGTTGCTGCTGCATACATTATGTAGGTCCAGGCATCGATGTGCCAGCCCCGGATATGGGCACTGGTGAGAGAGAAATGGCCTGGATTGCAGACTCATTTGCCAATACTCTGGGTATGTAGAACATACGTCAACGTGTAATATGCATAATCTAACCTTGTCATATCTTTCATAATCATAAGGTGCGGGCATTGATGTCCCTGCCCCAGACATGGGCACGGGAGAGCGCGAGATGAGTTGGATTTGTGACACATATTCACAGACTCTTGGTAAGATACAATGAAGATATAGCACACACTTGTTTCAAGCCAAATGCTATTGAATACTCATACAGCTTCACGATGGTTTAACATGTTTAGTGAACAGGATAGATGGATTTATTTCATTTCTAAACTCGATCTTGTTTCATTTTGTCGGAAATGTTTGCCAAGATATTGTACATTTAAAATTACATCAAGAAACTTTGAAGTTGATTGTCCAGTACTCAGTCATTGCCCTTTTGACTCTGGATAGAATCTGGGTTTGAATTGTTTCCATGCCTACTATATACGTATTTGGCCTTCATTCGTTGTTAAGGGTTTTATGATAATAAGAACATTATGATTGTTGCCTGGGATACTGATCATATGTACATCAATTTTATGCTTGGTATCACATTTCATAACATTTTTCATAATTATCATGATCTAAGTGAACTAACATTGTTGCTACTGTCACTGTTACTACAGGTTCAAACTGTTTTAAAAGTAATTCATAACAAAACCAGATCATGATATGACATGTTCCAAAAGCTTCGTTACCCTATATTCGTGATATGAATCATATTCGTCTCACAGTGTATCGTTGCAGCAATTAGAACAATTAGACTTTGAATACTAGCCATCGTCCAATATTTTGTGGTTATTGAGTATAGGTACTATATTTTGGCTTGAAATCAGTGAGTGTCGGGGCCCTGGGTGTAACAGACTTGCTTGCTTCTCTTGGTCTGTTGTGGGTGCAGGATCTCTTTGTTGTCCTTTTCTGTCTATAATACGACTAGAACCGCTTTCTTCTAACATGTCATTAGGGACTGTGTTCTTTTCTGAACAGTTAGTCTCTAGGTTATTTTGTAACATTTTCTACAGGTGTAAGTGCATTTGTTATGGTTTTATATCTTCTAGTTCAACATCAAACCATGGCTGACAGTAATGATTGTGTACAGGAACCAGTCATGTGGTGAACAGCGTCTGTGTAGCAGATGTGTTTTGTTAGTGGAAGAATTCACATCAACCTTGTTATAAAAGTACTGGTACTTTTTCTCAGTCTCACATGATTTCCCAAGACAGGGCAACAATCCTAAAAAAGGATGCATATTTGCTCTATGGCTATATATACTACAGGTTAACTATAGTGATATGAAAGAAGTGTTCTTTAACTTTTGTGTCGTATATATGGCCTTTAGGACATCACATTTTGAACTGTGTGCTCAGTCATTTATATTAACTTTGATTCATTTATCTGCCTATTCAATTCAAAGTTTATTCTTTTTGGTGTAAGTTGTAACAAATTTTAACTGGTTGTTTCTTTGACCATGTTGATTAGGTTATAATGTTAGGATGGGATTCATCCTAATTCTTCTCATCCAAACTAAATGACGTTGGTATTTACAAGTGGTGTCCCATGTTTAAGTGTTTATTTGCAGACCTATTCCATGTTGGTGATGAGATGTAGGTTGTAGTGTTTGGTATGTGGTACCCTCCATATTTACCCAAGCTTATTTTGTTCCTTGCTGATGTACACATGTAAATAATCATGTTTCACTGTTAGTCCCTTGGAACGTCCTTCACTTATAGATGTTGATAATGAATATTCATGGCAGAAGCTGTTTACTTATTATTTGATCTTGTTTCTGTTGAAGTGGAATGAATTTGATCAAATGATTAAGATTTTGTCTTCAGTGAATTATCTACCCTACTTGAGGCCGATATCTTTGTTCCAAGTCATCAGCAAATGTCAGTAAAGCTTCCGAATTAGAATTAAACATTTCATAAGCCATGCTATTATAGTTATAGTTATGTTGTGGCTTTGTAGTGATGACCTGTATTTCTCTGATTACACGGCCGATAGAGAAGAAAAGGCTTTAATGCTTTGTTTAACATTATTACATTGAATGCAGTGTTAAAATACAATGTTAAGATACCTCTGAATTTAGAAATAATACAAACTTTAAAAGAAATCCAATTTTGAACAAAATAACAATTTACCCGAGTTTGCCTACCAAGAGCACTTAGTTTGGAATCATAGATAAATCCCTGGTGTTCCTGGTCCCATGGATGACGATGCAGTGTAACGTTCATCACAGTGCCACAGTGCCCAGAGTCATTCCTGTTGTAGGCGACTTGACTGACTGAATACATGCTAGCCTCTAATGTACAGAGTAGGAGCTTATGCCAGGTAGCACTAATCAAATACAGATAATCCTTCTTTGTAGTTCGTTGTTAAATAAATATATGCTAATTGGCTGACGTGTCTTCAATTCTGTAAATCCACACGAGTCAAGGTTTCATGATGTTTACTGTGTATGGTTGAATATAACAACAACGTCTGATCATGTTTCCTGTATCAATGATTTGTCTGAAAATATTTGTCAGATTTTCTATGTACATGATGTATGTACTAAAAACAACTAAAATTAATTATTCTAACTCTAACTATTGATATCACTTTACATATGAATGTCACAAATTAATTTGGTATAAGTTTAAACATTAACACAATCTGTGCTCAAGAATGCCTTGAAAAGATATGCTTGTTGTAGTTGTAGGATAATCTCTGAGTTTTGTCTCTTCCTTGGATACCTAGTGGATGGATTTGAAATTTCCTGGGCAATTCAGACACTAAATGTATAATGAATACTCAATGCCATTTAGAAAGTAGTCAAATGTTAAATTTAAACACTTTCTCAATAAAGTACAAATTCTAGTACTTTTAGGGGTTGAGTCCCATCTGGGATTCAAACACACTCTCAGAGTGAGGCACCTAATCACCAGCACAGTGGATTTATGGAAAATGTGCACACTTGTTTTTACATTTATATATATCCATGAATACAAACCATATTGAAGTCAATTCTTATAAATATAGTCAACAATAATTACTGCACAGCCTGCTTATTTAAAGATTAACACTCAAAACTGCAGACATCAGTACGAAATCAGTGATGTTCAGCACAATTATGCAACAAGCCCTGCCCATACTGTCATCAGCCAATCAGGAAACAGTAGTTTCTAAGTAGGCGTGGCCTAAATTGTTTTTAGTTTATGGAAATGTAAATGCAAAAATATTGCTTGGTTAGCCAATCAAATGCCACGGAAGCGCTTGCAAGTTAGGTATTCTGGATTAGCCTACCCTGGCTTTTGTAAACAGAAGAATGAAAAGAAGCAACCTACAGAATGATTTGTGTGCTTTCTGTACTTTTATATCATTCATTCAGATACCTTTTTCCATGAAGAATTAGACAGTTATATTGTGTGTTCTCATGTTGTTATGAGGGCTGCAGGGTAGCCTATTGGTTATAGCATTCCCTCATCACGCCGAAGGCCTGTGCTTGATTCTCCACAAGGTATGATGACCATTTCAGGTGTCCAGTCATGATATTGCTGGAATATTGCAAAAAGTGGTGTAAAACCACACTCACTCACTATATTCTCAAGAAAAGCTTAATAATATTTCTTTGTAGGTGACCTAGTTAATTATGACCAATGAAAAGAAATATCGATGCTCATGATGTCATTCACTGGATTGTCTGGTCCAGACTCAATTATTTACAGACCACCGTTTTATAGGTAGAATATTGCTAAGTGCGGCGTTCAACAACAAACGAACAAATTGTCACATGTACACTGATCAAGGAGGTGTAGTTAGTCGGGGATTAAGATACAGTACCGGTAATCAAGAGGGAAGAACAGTTACCAACAATGATATTTCAGACAGAATATGGCTTGTGCCAATGTGAGCAGACTTGACATGGTATAGTATTACTAGCAGGAAGACCTAAAGGGGAATCACTGTGGGAAGTCCACTAATAGACAGGCTGCCTGTCTGCCTGCCCTGTTTACCTTCACCTCATTTCTCAATGTATTTGAGTTGTTTCATGACATGTTAAAGAACCTGTTAAGCCTTCACAGACCTATTGCCCAGTTCACATTTCCCATTGACCGTCACCTTCACCTCATCCTTGCATCATGGCATTCTAATCAATGCATCAACATTATGCTTCATGTTTACTAATCTTGAAACTTCAATCACCTCTCTATTCTTCTTAACATTTGTTAACAATAAACTGCATTACTAATTATTTTATAAGCATGTTTATAAACTTTATTGAACTCTGCTGATAGTAATCTGATGCTAAATTATTGCTTTAAAAAATGGACTTCCCGTTTTAGGTAATACATGTAGTTTGAATGACTGCCAGAGTCAATGTTAATTCAGCTGACATCCAATAGCTCTGTCAAATGGAAATGTAGCCAATAAGGAATCCTGTTACAGCAAGAGCTAATGTCTATACTGAATAAGAACCAACCTCATTGACGGAACTAAATCACTGTTCAAACATCTTACAAACTCTTCTTTGCTAAAATGTTATCCAACTTGTATTGGGATTCAAAATAATTGTATTAACAATCATCATTTCTGTGTCTCCATCATCCCAATCAATATGATTGTGGACATTGTCATCAGGATGACATTTGTGACTGCAGGACACTATGATATCAACGCTAGAGCATGTGTGACCGGCAAGCCCATCCCACAGGGAGGAATCCATGGCCGTATCTCTGCCACAGGGAGAGTGAGTACATACATGCATGCATGCATGCATACATACACACACATACATACCTACATTACTGAATTTTTAAGGTGGATTACTGAATGTTTTGGGGTGGATTACTGAATGTTTTGGGGTGGATTACCAAATGTTTTGGGGTGGATTACCAAATGTTTTGGGGTGGATTACTGAATGTTTTGGGGGTGTATTGTTAAAAAAAATCATGGTGTATTACTGAATGTTTCAGGGGTGTATTGTTAAAAAAATCATGGCGTATTACTGAATGTTTCAGGGTGTATTTCACGGAGTGGAGAACTTTATCAACGAGGCCAGCTATATGAGCATGGTTGGACTGACGCCAGGATTTGGAGACAAAACTTTCATTGTGCAGGTGTGTCCTGGTAAACATGTCAAACAGTATAGTATGTCAGTTACATGAAGACAGACTGATCTATCTGTGGCCCTACTGTATTGTTCCATTACTGATACTACACTACTTAGCAATTGCTGGGGACCACACCTTTGACTAAAGATGACTCTTTTGGTCTTTTGCAAATGGTGAGGACTATTAATAACTTTTATTAAAGTGTTAATGTGGCACTTCATCCAATTTTCATTGACGCTTCAGCTTTTAAATGAAATGTCAGTTGCTAGTGCATAATGCTATATTTATACTGAATGCTAAGAAAGGGAACTGACTCCATATGGAAGCATTACCATGCCTGTTTACACGTTGGTGCTGCAACTTTAGCCTTGAGTAAAGTTTGGGTCAAGTAAAATAATTTGCTCTAGAAGCTTCAGCTAATATGTTCCGCATGTTCAGATTGAAAACCATTCTCCAGGGTAATATTCAATAATAATATGTGTATATTCATAACGTGCCAAATCCACTGGCACACCCTAAAGCGTGTTACTTTATGACCCTGGTGAATGGATTCACAATTTGCAGCAAAACTTGGCGCATGCTTGCTCATCAGCTTACCTGGTGCTTTTTCATAATTTAGAACTTTTCTAATCCAATATGTTCCGTTTCCATGGAAACAATTTCGACTTAGTCTCAAGCAACTCTTGACTTCTTTTCCGCGCCATAACATTCCAAGTAATGAATTGCATGAAACTATACATATGGAATGACCACATGCTCTACTATTGTCTTCTAATTTTAGCTTTTTTTAATTTCTTGTGTTTCCATGGAAACAATTTGGAAATATTTAAGAGTCTTTCAACTAAGCATAAACTAATGGGTACGTCTACTTGCACAATTCTGTTTCAAACATGTACTTAGATATATTGTGTAATCTGTGGTGTTGCAGGGTTTCGGCAACGTCGGCATGCACAGTATGAGGTACCTGCACAGAGCGGGGGCCAAGTGTGTCGGTATCGTGGAGTACGATGGAAGCATCTACAACCCAGAAGGAATCGACCCTCGGGAACTTGAGCTGTACAAGATTGTACGTCTATGTTCATCGTTGTGGAGATGCAAGGACTGAATAACAATATCCAATGCTTGTATTAAAATAAATATCAGAAATTAGGATCTGGTTGATTTGCTGTCATCTAACACTGGTTTTTCAGCCCCAGATTCAATTATTTAGAGCAGCTGAAATAATTTCTAGCCATGCTAGCTTCCGATTGATAAGCATTTGGTCATTTTATTTGATTGCATTCTATCATTGTAAAGTAGGGGCTCAGTCGTAGACATCTGGATGCAGCTAAGACTCTGGCATTTGAAACATATTAAATATGTTGATTATTTTGTTAAAACTGAGAACCAGTTTCATATCTGTTTGTTTGCAGGAACACGGAACTGTTGTTGGCTTCCCTGGAGCACGTGCTTACGAGGGAGACCTGCTGTGTGAGAAGTGTGACATCCTGGTGCCGGCAGCCAGTGAGAAACAACTCACTTTAGAGAATGCTCACAAGATTCAAGCCAAGGTACACCGTTTGTGGCAATGCAGGATGGGTATCATCCAGATTACTGCGCAATCTTACATGGTTTTAAAGGATATTGACATGTTAATTAATTGCAAATGATTTCCATGGCATTTAAGCGGCTAACCAAGCACATGTTTCCATTAACCTTAAATTGGTCACACCCACTGCTTCCTGATTGGGTGATGATAGTGTGGGTGGGGCTTGTGTTGCATTAATCCGCTGAACAGTGACCCTGATTTCATGTCGTCTACAATGCTTTATGATAAAATATGCAATTCTTTACTTATCCTGCAGTACTCCTTTATGCATCTACTGCTTACCTTTGACAAAGATATGAAGAAAAAAGCTAGTTTTCACTTTCAGTCTACTTTTGTGAGGACCCACTGGGAAAATCCTAGGGCAGGAGCAGGGATAAGAGGGAGAAGCATTGAAGCTTTGAACTATCACGACTGGGAACCCCACCCATAGTCGTCCCAATGGTCAAGGGAGGCTGGGCGTTTTCTGGCAGAACTAGACGGTCTGGTAGATGCATTCGTACTAAATGTACTGTGCATAGACATAGCGGTAAACCCATCGTTGACCACGTCTTCTCCACCTTATAGACTATTAGGCTTACCCAAGCAACATCAACTACAGAAATCCACCATAGACATCTTGCAGAAGAGAGCTATAAAGATTGTACACGCCCCAGTGCTAAAATTCTCACATCTTCCTGGTACCCAAGACGGACTCAGACAAGATGCAGATGATCCACAATCTCTCAGTGTTCAACGAGTGCTGAGCGCTCCTTTGAGACAGATCAGGACCAGTCTCCATGCCTTCGACTCCCTCATCAGTCTCGACGATCAGGATGTGTACCTGCATGTACCTAACCATCCCACAGACCGCAGGTTTCTCCGGTTCCAGTTCTATGTGGTCCTCTACTAATGGGCGGTCCCGCCCTTTGGCATTTCAGTGGCCCCGTGGCTATTTACATGCTATCTGTCACCTGCCCTGCGACAATCTCGACCCTTCGCCAGTAGCAAGTGTTGATGGAATTGCTCACATCAGCAAGGACATCACTCTACCGTCTCACCTAAGGACACATCTCAACTGGTGGACGATAGTCTTAGGAGGCGCCTCCTTATCCAGGCTAGCCCCAAAACCACACCCTTCAGGGGTGGGGTGAACTTCTACAGGGCGAGACAGCCTCAGGGCTGTGTTCAGGCTTACAAACGTAATTGGCACATAAACAACCTCAAGTTGGAGGCGTTCATTCTGCCAATTTCTCATGGGTTCATTCTGGCAATTTACATGGGCAGGAGCAGCTACGATACACCCAACTCGCAATCTCCACTGACAACAGCACGGTGGTGCGGTGCCTTCACAGTCTTGGTACTATGCACTCTCACTCCCTGCTTCAACAGACGTTCCGGTTCATTCATCTTGTGGATCACATAGGACTACAATTTCTAGTCCAGCAAATCCCCGGAACCAGACATGGTGGCTCCCATGGAGTGGAAGGCCCACCTAGAGGCATCAATGCTGTGGTCAAACTGACATCAACCTTTTCGCAACACATCAGAACCACCAACTAATGATGTACATCCGATCCCAGATCCACAGACTTGGGCGGTAGACGCATTTACCATCCCCTGGGAAGGGTTAAAAGCAGGGGTCCGGAAACCGTCATATGCGCCGGACATGTCCGATTGGGAATCTCAAATGTCCGTTTTAAAATATTGCTTACCGGACATTTTAAAAAGTATTGTCCGGACATTCTTAAATTTTGACCGGACATGATCAACAGTTAGGACTGAGCAGTTTCTGTCTGCAGTTGGAACACAATGAAGATTAACTACACTGACAAGCTTTGTTTGTCTGATTGCTGTAAATACATCGTACCTACATGATAGTCCAATCGGTCAATCACTTTAATAGGCAATAAACTGAGTTGACACTGATTAATCGAGGATTAATTACTGAGAACATCTTGTTAATTTGAGTGAAAGGTGTTTACAACTGTACATTAATACCTTGCATCATCGATGTACCTCATTATCCTCACAATGCTACGATACGAAACCTCAGACAAGAAGCGAAAGCGTGACGACAGCCGAACCTAGCAATATTCCAGCTATAGGACAGCGGTCTGTAAATAATCGAGTCTTGGCCAAGCGAGCAACACTTCCCAAGCCAGCACAGAGCATTGCCTGATAGCCAGCCAAGGAAACTCCATCATCGGTAATTATCACGTTATCCTTTCATCCTTATTCACATACATCACTCTCACCGAATTAATCACAAAACCCCTAAATCCTTAAAACCAACAACAACACTCAACTCTTATAAATAACCAACACCTTATCCTCCCCCATCTCCCTAACACAGCTCGCACTCATTTCTACTCGCTACCCACGCCCACCACTCAAACACACCCTTTGACCCAACTCCTAAAAACAAAAAAACACCTAATCCCCCCTTCTCCTTAACACAACGCACGCTCTTTCCTACTCACCACCCACGCCCACCACTCACATACCTCCACTCCTTCGACTAAATATCTCCTAATCCCCGCTTTCCACTTGTCTCACCTAATCCCAGCCTTCCAGCAACAAAATAAATCTTTAATAATTAATCCATTTCACAAACCCTCCTACTAAAACCAACAACAAATAACCACCGCAACCTCCTCCGCCTCCTAAACACAACTCACCAAGTAAAAACAACAAACCAACTCACCTCCCCAAAACACCACTCCCACTCCACCACCACTCACCACAACACACGCTCTCCAACTCTCCAAACAACATGACTGACACCCCCAACGCCACACTCGCAGACATGCCAGCTCCTAACTCACCCACGCCTGCGGAAGCGCACAACACTTCCGGGAGGTCACTCGAAAACATCGTCCCGACCGAGTATGGCGAAAACACGACACACACCACCCCCACCAAACCAGCTAACTCGCCACCTCAAAACACCAAAAAACGCAAACTCGACACATCCACTCCACCTCCATCGCCCACACCCTCCCCGGCCGCCTTCCTCACGACCTTCGCCCTCTACTTCTTCTCAGCAGGCTCAGGCACCACTCTCTCACTAGAACTTTCGGCAGATAAAATAGGACTTTGGTTTAAAAGAGAAAAAATAAATTACAACAATATTAAAAAAGCCAACAAAGGATACCAGATAATCTTCCCTAACCGAGAATCTTACAACGCAGCAAATAAAATAACTCAAATATTCCACGTCACAGTAATCAAACAAACACCTAATTGGCAACAATATACACGAGGCGTAATTAGGGTTAACCCAAGGGAAACAACTGAGGACTTACAATTATACTCTCTAGAAGCTAACATAAACCAAGACCAAAACCCTCAACCCCTAATCACCAGCACGCGTAGAATAACCTCAACTAGAAACGGAAAAACGGTCCCAACCTCCATTGTCATAATCAACTTCAAAAAGACCGCTAAATTCCCTGAAGCCCCCAAACACATATCCTTCGGAGCCCACACCAACTTAGAAGTCAAACCCTATATAAAGCAGGTTAAGCAATGTACAAAGTGCCTCAAATACAACCACACTGCCTCCCAATGCACATACCGTAAAACTAAATGTAAAAAATGCGCACAAACAGACTGCCCAGGCACATGCACACCCTGGTGCATCCACTGCAAATCCACCCAACACACTTCACTCTCAAACCAATGCCCATACAGACACACACTCACCCAGCAGGCCAACAAACACATAAACATAGACACGGCTAAAATCCAAACACGAAAATTTGCTACACCTGCATCTAAACCACTCCTCCCTACACCACACCCAAACACCATCCCACAAACAAACACCACACCCATAACCGACAGCTCTGTCTGGGGCCCCTACCGAGAAACCGCACCCACCTCACACATACAAGCAGCCACTCAACCAACCACGAACCCTCCCACATCTCACATAGCCAAAACATCAACCCCCGCATGCAAAACAAACCTCAAAATGACCACCACAACACGACCCTCATCCAAGCACCCTACAGCCAATATGGTAACAACGCTCTCCCACAAGCAAGCACAACAACAAAACACAAACACTATGAAATCATCAGCTACACCCATCCCACAAACACCTTCACAATCCTCCACATCACATGCCTCCCCCATGGAAACTCAATCAGCTAAACCTAATCTAACCGATGACGAAGATTTCTCCACTACTGAGGAAACAATAGACACTACTCCAACTAAAACAAACCAAACTCCCCAACCAGCCAACACCCAAAACCTAAACAACCTCACCTTACTCCTAGCATACATGCATAGTCAAAACTCACCAAAAGCTAGCATGAAATCCTTCTACAAAGTAGCTTTCAATCTAAAATTAACCGATCTTCCCTTCTTCCTCTTTAACCTCCATCTAAAAGAACTCACCGAATAAAATAAAAAATAAAAAATAAATCACCAATCACCCGAACCCAATATTCGAAGGACTAAATATTTTTCAGTGGAACGCCAACGGACTCACCTCCCACGGCCATGAACTAAAAACTAAATTTAAACTAAATAAAGGCCCTCACATTGCTTGTATACAGGAAACCAAATTCTCAAAAAAATCCAAATTCACACTACCTAACTACAACTCAGTTAGAACTGACAGAGCTAAACCGAAAACAAGAAGAGCCGCAGGAGGACTAATCATATTTATCAGGGAAGATATAAATTACGAAGAAATAAAAATAGACACGCCAAACCTAGAAGCCAACGGCATTAAAATCACATTAAATAACCGAAACATAAACATCATAAATATTAACCACTGGGCGGAACAAAAAGTCCAACCTGAGGATCTAAACAAACTACTCCAAATAAGCGATAAATCTACTATATTCCTAGGAGACTTTAACGCTCACCATCCTACATGGAGCATAGATGATAAAATAGATAATCATGGCAAATTAATCTCCGAATGGATAGAAACAAACGACCTAGTACTCCTTAATAGCAACC